TTTTCTGATGAAGGGTCGAGGCCCGAAACGTAAGCCTCTCTGCTCCTATGATGCTGCTTGGCCTGCTGTGTTCATCCAGCCCTGCACCTTGTTGTCTCGGATTCTCCAGCATCTGCAGTTCCTACTATCTCTTCCCTCCCCATTCCCTGCATTCCATGTACTCCCCACCCCCTCTGCTGCCATTTCCCTGCATTGCAGAATCTCTTCCTGCCCTAAAACCTTCGAATTTGCTTTTCTGGGGCAGTAATGATTTTCCAACATGCCCCTTCTTACAACCCTGGCAGTGCCTACTAGTGAACACCATCTGATTGGACAGCAGCACTTGAGTGTGGGGCATTCTCATGCTGAGGGGCAGAGATCAAACTCTGCACCATCAAATCCCAAAGAGTAACTGTTGTAGGGTGGGCTTGTTCCAGTCCTGATGGAAACTTTCCATTCCCAGGGAGTGAGCAGGCCACACCCTCAATCTCCCTCCTGCTACTGCTGTGAAATGTAACTGTTTGTATTCATCCTGCATGAACGAAAATGGAGTTTCTTAACTTTAAGTTAAATATGCCTACTGATCTCCTAATTGTTCTAAAAAATTGGTGTTTCCCTGTCTAGGAGGAAAAGATGAAGAAAACTTTAATCAGTACAGGTAACCTTTTAAAATAAATCTTATTTCCTTTCATCTAATGAAGCTTTGATTTTTTTAAACTAAGAAATATTTCTACCTGTTTTCAATCAAAATTATAGTATTTGAGGAGACATTAAACCACCTCCCCATCAGGAGAATGGAGTATTAGAAATCTGAACCCCTACCCCAGCTTCCTTGAACCCTGCCTACTTTTAATTCAAATTGAATCAGAATGGAAAATGGGCAACCAGTCTACTCCTACTATTGGTGTTTGTACTGATAATGTTGCATTGGGATTCATGCCTTATTTCAATTCACTATTTGAAATGTAATTCATGACAGCCATGTTTCCACAATATGGAGAAAATCTACCAGATAGATTAAAGTGAGGGACTGTGGCATCAGAAGCTAAGTACCTTTCTACTTATCTGCTGGGCCCAGCACATCTGTCTCATCAGCCCACAAAATTAGACACCATTTCAAATCCAGTCAATCTGCCTGAAACATCCCCACTGAGGTCTTAGATTCCACCGCTCCTGGGCCCTCTCCCCAAGGCCACTGATTCTCCCACAGACCTTTTGAAGGCGTGGGGAATGTGATCAATCTCCTTGTGTCCCCAGGTCACCAATCTTCCCAACTCGTCTCCATTGTCCCTAACCACCTAAGCCTCTAATCCACCAGAGCCTTCAGTTTCCACCAAGCAGCCTGGTCTCGACTTTGCTCTGCTCCCAGGCCTCTGATTCCCCTCTGAAAAGTCCACAGTGTCATGTCAATGACATCTGACCCAGCCTCTACAAGGTCTTGGGTAAAAACTCTACAATGTGTAGAAGAATCCAGACCCCCCTAGATTTCCAGTTTGTTGCTCTCCACTGGCTCCTGTATTGACAGGTCAATAAAATTAATGCTTCCCCCCACCTTGTGTCATTTGTAATAACTTATCCTAGTTTTGGAGATTAAAATGTTGATTATGATAAGTGGGAAACAACTACACATTGTTCACGCTTTCAAAATGACATGAAATTATTTTGAGAAGTTTATGGTTTGCTTCTCAATTGATCTTGACATTTTTGATAACACAAGGTGAAAAATGATTATTGAATTCAACTGGGAAACGTTTAATGCAATATTTTTCTGTTCATTGAATTAAACCTGGTGTAATACTGCCATTAAAATAATAGGAAGATTGTATGGATATGGCAAGTTTTTGTCCACAGATACCTCTAGTTATGCTTTCTAATCTAGCTGATGTGAGTTAGTAGCATTACGCATGATGCCAGTTGATCAATCAAGTCATTTAAATTTTCTACACACACCTAGTTATCTGTAATTTAACTGTTATGTAAATTGTATATTCTTGGGAGGCCATGTTCCAAACCATCATCAATGCATTCAAGAAGGATTATTGAAGAAATTCAGAAGCCATTCAGAGGACAAAGGTCATCTACCAGCCTTCTCCCACCTTACAACACAGCTCCTCGACTGTCAGGAATGACAGTGGGCCATTGGATATAGTGGATAATTTCTCCTATCTCTGGAGCCCCTCCCAATGAGAATTTCAAGTGTAATTCAACATTTTCTCCAATGCCAGAGAAGCCTTCAGCTGTCTGAGCAGGAGAGTTGTTGGTGACAAAAAACCTTAAACTGGCACGACATTCATGGTCTGCAGGACCGCATCCCCAGGCGTTGGTTAACTACATTGAGTAGGCCACATCGCTTCCATGTGTGGCACAAGATTCCTAAAACAAGTTCTACACTCTGGGCTTCACTGCAGCAAGCAGTTTTTAGGAGGCTAAAGGAAACCTTTTGATGATATCTTCAAAGTCTCCTGGAAAATAAGCAATATTCCCGCCAACTCAAGGGAATCTCTCCCAAGGGTCACCCAAACTGGAGAAGAAGCATCTGTGAAGGTAATAACCAAATTCAGGATCTCCAACAGACGCACAGGAGGCCAAATGGAAACAACAGAAAAAGCATGTGAAAACCCAAGCATCCCATTTGCCTGCCCCACCCTTGGCAGTCTATAGATTCAGCATCGAAATATTTATTCACCTTGACCGATAACTGCTGGTCATCCTCAGTCCCAATGATTTGTCTAAGGAGAAAAGAAGTTATAAACTACATGTTCTTAGTTCAGGCACAAAGCTGCTCCAGAGGCCTTTTCCGACACGCAACTACAGATTTTGCCAGACCCGTTCCCCTGACTCCAGTAAGATCACCGAGTTACCTGCTTTACTTTTCCTCCTGAGTCTCCTATGGCATTTACACTGTGATGCGGGAAGCCAACCTCAGCCTTGGTTTGCCAGTCTTTAAACGCCATGTCCCTTTTTCTTGACTCTATGTTGATACCCAATTTTGTATGTACCCTTTAAACATATACTTTCCTCTATAATTACATTCTCATTGCACAACATCAGAAAAAGGAAATCTGCATGTATTTAACAGATGCCACTCAATCTTCAAGACAAGGAAAACAGAGTGGCAGAAATACTATTCTATGAGACGTTATCTCCTCCAGTCTCTCTACCTGCTAAACGTGCCCTAAAAATCAGGGACAGCTCATTCCATTCTTTAACCCTGCTACATCTTCAATTTACCTCACCCACCTCAGTTTTTTTGCCAATATTTGCAATTCTCATTATTTTAATCGATTGTGACTTCAAAGTGCAAATTAAAGATCCACTAAGTGTTTAGTTTCTTTTAGTTCACAATTAAAAGGAGTAATCTCTTGGGACAAAATTTCTACTTTACACATGTTAATTGTAAATGTATTCTTTACAAACTAATATTAATACCGGGACAGATAACTCAACACTTCAAGCAAAATATAAACCTTCCGAATGAGTAGCAAACAAAAACAAATTAAACATTTCAGAGATAGTGGGAACTGCAGATTCTGGAGAATCTGAGATAACAAGGTGTAGAGCTGGATGAACACAGCAGGCCAAGCAGCATCAGAGGAGCAGGAAAGCTGACGTTTGGGGCCTAGACCCTTCTTCAGAAATTTCAGACATTTCAGACTTGCTTCAGCCCCCAACTTTTCTTAAATGTAAAAGAAAATATTAAGAGACATAGTTTTAAAATTGTAAGGATGTCAGTTGCAGAGCAGAATCAAATTCATTCACAAAATTGGACATTGCATGCAGTTAGTTTATTATGGAATAACTTCCAAATTAATTAACTGTTAATCATACAGTTGTCCTTACATTGTAATCAACATTTATACAGGTTTCTCAAAATTAAAACAAATTTTCAGATGATGTGATGCACATATATGAGTAGTTTATTCATATTTTGTTTAGATAATTTTATATAATTTTCAATGTGTACGCTTTGCTGTATCTATTTTGAGAATGTATTAACTAATTTACCGCATGGATTAACAATGCTTCTGCACCCACAAGTGAGAGTTTGGGATTATTCTATTTCTTGAAAGAAGCACCTCCTCCATACTACTTGTTTTCCAATATGCCTGCATCTCAGATTTGTAAGCATCCTTTATGCATTAAGCATGGAGCTATCAAACTGAGATTACATGATATGATAACACATTAGGTAAAGGCAGATATTGGTGAGTATGGAAAGTATTCTATTTTTAAAGTGTTTTTATTCTATTCATTATTTATCTGAGAGTTGAATTTGCATCTAGATCTTGAATAAAAGCTAATATCTCAAGTCTGGGGTATCACCAAGAAGGCTATATTATCACCGCGTCCTTGACTGTTCACCTTTTTGAGTTTATCGTTTGAGATGCTAAGCTTTGCTTTGTCTTTGCTGCTTAAATACTAGGCAATATCAGCGTCGGAAATGGCCCAAAACGAAGAGACCAAACACCAAGTCCCTGTGAGTTAACTGAGCAATACTCCAGATTTGCCTACAGCTCTGCTGTTCCAGCAAATTGCTTGCTAATTTTTTTTTGCATGCAAAGCCTGATATCAGCATGGACATTTGCAACACTTTCTTTCTCTTTTTAACTAAATTAATAAAACTTTGAGATTTACTGAATTTTAAAATATGTACTTGTAGAGACCATTCAAAGAAACAGTTACTTACACAAGAATTAATTTATCTCTTTTAAATATAGGCCTTAACATCTGTCAAACGTTGAAGTGCTAAAATTGAACGCATCACAATTGCATTTGATTTGCTCAATTCCTATTTATGTAGAACAGCAACATATTCATAACTGAATAGATAGGAAACCTACTGATAGATGATCAATAATAATTGACCATAAACAGCTACCAATAAAAAAGCTAGCATGAAGTAGAACGGTAGCCAGCAGAACCATTTAAAACAATATTAAGCCACTTGTCCTATTCAGAGTGGAAATATGTCTACCAGGAGCACCTGAATTTCAGGTAAGATACCGATGCAATGGGGTGTAGCTTTCTACTGCAAAGAAGGGAAACATTTTAGGAGGAATGAGGAGAGATGAGTACAAGCACAGTGACAAGTCACAGAATTTCAAAGTCCGCTTTTAGGCTCTGAATTATCAGAATGGAAGATCAAAGGAACTATGCAGTTTAGCTGTATTGAAAGGAAGTATAACCAGCCATAATTAGGAAATGTGGGCTAGTATTTTTGGGGCGTTGTTGGGGGTTGCGGGGGGAGGTGTATACAAACTTCCAACTTTGACCTGTAATTTCCATAATAGAGAAAAACTGCATCCAACTATTAGATCTGTGCTCTTTGGACTCCATGAATTCAAGATTCATCTTGAACATAAATGACAAAGAGCCCACAAAATGGTTTGTTTTTGTTTTTAGTCTTTAAACAAATTGATTTATTAGTTATGAAAATATTGGGACGTGGGAATAAAGGTGGTTTGTCTGGTCAAACTGGTTACAGATGGGAAGTAGTGTGATTAAGTCTGCTGAAAACTGTCTACCAGAGTTAACAGCACAAATAGATAATGAGAGGTATGTTAAAAACAGAAGTCAGTATCAGCCAGGAGCAAGTCAATTAGGTGTGATTGGGTAGATTTGATGAAATCTGTTTTTCTTTCATTTCCAAATAATATCATCCATCATTAAGTGTTACTTGTGGAATATCAGAGAAAGTTTTACACAATAGTGATTATTGATTGATGCACAGGCCTATGAAGCCCAGCCTGGTAAACTTAGCACAATATGGAAAAACTGCATCCAGTTGTTATATTCTCTTTGATATACTGTGATACAGTTTGCTTTACTGTTGTAACTATTATGTAGGGCTATCTCCTCATCCATTTCACCACAGCTATCATAGACTCCCTACAGTGTGGAAACAGGCCCTTCAGCCCAACAAGTCCACATCGACCCTCAGAGCATCCCACCCAGACCCACCTCCAGACACTATGGGCAATTTAGCATGGCCAATCCACCTAGCTTGCACGTCTTTGGACTGTGGGAGGAAACCCACGCAGACATGGGGAGAATGTGCAAACTCCACACAGACGGTCGCCCAAGTGTGGAAACGAACCTGGGTCCCTGGTGCTGTGAGGCAGCAGTGCTAACCACTGAGCCACCGTGCCGCCCATGCTGTTTGTTTTGATGCCTCGCATTGCAAAACAGTCAAATGCATTTTGTGCAAAACATAAAGTGAGGGGTGACCTGATAGAAGTATATAAAATTATGATGAGCATGGATAGGGTGGATATTTTTGTCAAGGAGGAAATGACAAATATTAGGAGATTTAGGATTAAGATGTGAGGCAGAAACTCTAATAGAGATGTGTGGGGCAATTTTTTTTGCACAGAGGGTGGGGTGCCCGGTATGTGCTGCCAGAGAAGGTGGTAGAAGCAGATATTTTAGCAATGTTTTAAGGGAGATTTTGACAGACGCATGAACAGACAGAAACTAGAGTATTATTGACCAAATGCAGGCAGATGGGATTAATTTAGAATGGCATCATGGTCGGACCGACATGGTGGGACAAAGAGCAGTTCCTGTTCAGTACTGTTCTGTGTTCTATGTATGGAGGGCCCCAAAGCATTTTGGTCCTTGGGGCTACAATTTTTTTTAACTTAGCTTGTACTAAAGTGTAACATGAAATGTGCAGCATGGAAGAATTTTATCAAATTAAACATTGTTTTCAAAACAAAAATATACTGATTTACATTATACTCTAGAATGTGTAGTAACTGTTTCACTCTAACTTTTTTTTTACCTTTCTTTTCACCAGTACTGATTTCTCAGTGAAGCTGATCTCAAAACATTCTTTATTTCTCTTCTTCTGGGTTAGCCTGCTAAAATACTGCATGCATTTATAAAGTTTGTGAGTTTGCTTCTTTTTTATTTGAAATGCTATTGGTGTAGCAACCTTTACTAATCATCTTCCATATTTACACTTAATACACCTCCATTGTTTTTGTTGTCTTGAGTTTTTATTTTTAAGATGTAATAAATCTAGAAATTGCTGGAAAAGCTCAGCAGCTCTAACAGCATCTGTGAAGAGAAATCTGAGTTAACGTTTTGAGTCCGGTGACCCTTCCTCAATTCTGATTTCTCTTCACAAATGCTGCCAGACCTGCTGAGCTTATCTAGCAATTTCTGTTTTTGTTTCTGAAAAATTACAGCATCTGCAGTTGTTTCAGTTTTTATGTAACAAATCTAACTTAGAGGGGGTGATTGATCCCTGACTATTCTAATTTTTTTGGAAATATATGACATTATCTCTAGCAAAGAATTTGTCTGTGACATCCTAATACCCGAGGTGCCTGCCTAGAACAGACGAGAAGTCCCTGGACTGTACCAATTAGGACGTACCCCTTGTAGGTAGAGCCTGACATCAAATTAAACATAAGCTGAAGTGTATACTGTACTCAGTTTATCAAGGTCTACGGTGGCCTAATCAATGGTTCCTAGAGATCACTGGAGGCCACTGAAAAGTGGGTAAGCTTTCATTAGTTTACTTGCCTTATTGTGTTGGAACTTGCACTGCTTTTCTCATTTTGAGTTCTCCCATATTGGGATAAATTCTGAAGTCTGCAACATGGCAGGAGCAGATCTACGGTACTGTGAAAACAGTGAATCACTTACCATCTTATTGTCAATGCCACTTTGGTTACTGCTATCATGTGATATCCCTGAGGGTTGTTGATGCTCCATCTTTGAACACACTTGTGTTTGGAATGGATATATTTTTGGTCTCGAGAATCGAGGGATGTGGAGAGCAGATGGGAAAGTAAAATTGGATCCAAAGATCAACAATGATCATATTGATTAGTGGTACAGGCTTGATGGACCATATGGCCTATTCCTACACCGTATTGTGTATTCATGTGTTTTTTCATCTTGGCCATAAGATGGACCTCTACCCCAAATGTGGAATGTTAGAACATTAAAAATGGTCTACCAAAAATCATTGGAGCAATTGAGGAACATGGTTGGGATTCTTGTGCTTGTTTGTTATTTCTATTCTTTAAAATAGAATTGTGCGTTATGTTCTTCAGGCTAAGGCAAGCATGAGGCCTAGGGCTTAACACATCTGATAGTCAGATAGTTGTTACAGCAGCATAGACAGGAGCTATCCATCAGAACTATCGCAGAAATCCTGACACAGCTGACCCTGAAGAAATTGCCCAGGAAATTGAAAATGCCTACTGGCAATTAACCTCCGTTTGAAGCCTTCGATAAAGTCCCTTTACAGTTAGAGATTTTGAAGGGGTTTGACTTGCTTAAGCTTAACGCTTGGAGGGTTAAAAATGGACTGTCACTCATGGGTATTATTTAAACTGAATCCTGGACACAGACACAGACACAGACACACACATCTCTCTCACTATCTCCCCTCCCCACCCCCGCAACCCGACAAATCCAACATGAGCACATATACTCTAGTCTGACACACAACATTCCACGCTGACTCAAGATCACTATCTTGACCAGAAAACCCTCCCCTAAATCCAATATCCTTCTCACTCTGACCTGATCTCTTGATCTATCCTAAACACCCATTCACTTCTATGACCTGGCACCCTACCCACCCTTCATGCATCTGGCACTTAACTCCTCACCCACCCCTTCTCTACCTCCTACCTGTTCATATATATCCTTCCATGGTAGCTGTGTTGCAGGACATTGAAACATGAAATACTGCAAACAGACTGCTATAAAATGGGACGAGATGCCCATGCTGTTGTTCTCCCCTGCTGGCTATGATGATTCCTGGAAAGGATTCCATTGTTTCTTCACAGAAGGCTCCTGTCCAGGAATTTCCAGTGTAGAAGTCATCAAACTGTAAGTATGCGCTTTCTTTTCTCTGATCAGGGTTGGAAATAGGGTTTCCAACCCCAACTGGAGTTTCAAGGCCATTGTGTCCCAATATAAATCATCTTTCCTTTGTCCATACACAGCAGCCCCTTACTTAATTAGACTTTGTGAAATACTGTGTCTCGAGATGTCATCAGCATCAACGCAACAATTCTTTTCCATGTTACATATAAAGGTCAACTTGTGTTAAAACCCATCTGTACTTTTTTTTTGAGCCTGTTTTGTGTTTAATTTCAGAGGACAACTTTGGGAAGGCTGGGAAGGCTAGCCTCCTGAAAAAAGCTGACTCCTTCAGCATCAACTGGCAACAACTTGAAACTTTATACAGACAGGGTGAAAACCTATACCTTTATCAACTGAATTTCAATTTTAGCCTTGAAGACTGAATAAACTAAGGGGCTGATGTAGGTAGAATGTTTGCACTGTTGGGAAATTTTAATAGATCAGTAAACTGTCAAGGATCACTTATGTAAGTGAAGGTGGAATGCCTCTATCACTGGTTGCTAGACTATCTGCTGTAACTCAAAGTAATGCCTCACTTTGTTCACAAGCCATCATTTTGGAACGCAGCTCTCTTGAATTATGGGAACTGGCTGATTCTACAGGAGCAAAGGAAGAAGGTGGTGTTTATTTTTTGGTAAAGCACCTTGATTTCAAGATGTTTCCATTACCAATGCAGCTATAAATTTGTTGACAAAGAACCCATGCAAGAATCAACCACTGCCAATGATTTTGGAAAATAAAGTGAGGTGAAAGAAAGTTTGTAAGACCGGAACAGAGGTCAAAATCAATGCAAGGGAAATAAATGTATAAGCATGCAAATAGAAGGAATGAATTGATTGGTGAAGACCTTCTAGAAAAAGGGTTTGTTTGAAGTGAAAAAGAAGTGAATATTCAAATTGTTAATAATGGTTTTATCAACTGTCAGCCCCATTTTGAGGAATCTGCTTGGTTTGAGCACTTGCATATCTGTCGGCCTCTGCCATTATTATTTCTAGACAGCTTTGAGATGCACAGGTTAAGAAAGACCAGCTTCTGTACAATACTTAGAATTATATCTTGTAAATACTTACAACTTTTATGCCCATCAATGAAGTTTATTAGAGTGATTTAGAATTTGAGTCGATGCAAACAGGAATGCCCAGCTACATACAGTAATATCAGGAAGAAAGAGTCATCATTAAAACTTCACCGTTTGATTCACCAATTATTGATGCATTTTAAAATCTTTTTTCGTGCTGATTTGTTCAATTTCATGACTCCAGCTGGCAGACTGATTGAGACTGTTTTAAAACTCACTGAAATCAGGTTCTGAAATTACCTTTTTAAAATTGTCTTAATTTCAGCACAACAAAATGAGTTTAAAATAAATCCTTAATTGAGTAATAAAATAATTTGCATCTGTTCCAAAAATGCAACCTTCTATACTGACATTTCTGATGGGTTTTTTTTCCTCAATCAAAGATTTGCTGCAATTCTCCATGCCCACCCCCACCCCTCCATCCCACAACCTGGATTGATAGAACCCTCCACCATGTCCATTGTGTTTTAAACAATTTTGTTTTTTCAATCCTTCTCTTCCCTTCAAGGGCTCCCCTTATTTTCACCTTTAAGCCAAGCAACTGCCATTTTCACTGGACCATTCTCTGCCTCTTCCTCTACTTCAATCCTGCTGCCACAGCCAAAAGCCTCTCCTCCTCCCCTTTTAGCAATCCAAAGGAGCAGTTTCTTCTGTGATGTCCTAGTTCAATCCTCAGTTTTTGCCAAACACTGCTGCCCTTCACGCAAGCACAGGAGATGCAACAATTGCCTTTTTACCCCTAACTTTCTCACTGTCTAAGGCCTCGAGTTCTCTTTCCAGATTAAATAGTATTTCACTTGAACTTTCAGTCAGGTATACTGAATTCGCTGTCCTCCACATGGGAAATCCAAGCTTAGAATGGGTGACTACTTTGTGGAGACTCATGCATTCAGCTCATAAGCTTGGCCTGGACCTTGCAGCCTCCTGCTGTTTACATTCTCCATCTTGCTTCCAATCTGACCAACCTGTTGTTGGCTTCCTGCAGTGTTCCAGTGAAGCTCAGCACAACGTCACCAATTCATTTTTTTAATCAAGCAGTTTAATATCTTTTGGAATCAACAAACCAGTCCATTTATTCTCCTCTCCAGCCTCCCCCTCTTTTCCTGCTCAAAACCTTTTTATGTTTCTAACCGTTACCAGTTCTGATGAAAAGTCACAGACACGAAAAATTAACTCTGTTGATTTCTCCACAGATTTGCCAGGCTGGCAGAGTATTTTCTGCATAGTCTGCTTTTATTTCAGACTTCCACCTCTACAGTATTTATGTTTGAGATTTGCAGCTTAATCTGAGATAAATATCAGGTCAGTAAGAGATTTGGTCAGGCTAAATATAATGGTCCATCTGCCAAAAAAAAACGCTCTAATGATGAAGAAAATAAAATCTATTCCAGAAAACTAATTAAAAGTTTGGTTTTAATGATTCTCTCCAAACTGAAACACAATGCTATTTTTGACCTGTTTTTACAACTTACTTACTTCAAAGTAAAGTACTTGATTCTTTAAGAAGAACATTTTCTGATATGTATTGTATGAGGAAGTGTATTATTCCTATTGGCTGATCAGTCCAGATTGTAAAGAGTTATTTTCTTTTTATCATGTACCTAGTTAGTAGATGTGCACTAATGGTAAAGTTGTTTGAGATTTTTAAAAATAAGTCATTCAAATAGTTTCTACGGGGATACATTATAAATAAATGATTCGAGTAAATTGAATAATCTCTGCTCCAATCTATAACATGACCTTTCAAAGAGCAAGGGTGAAGTGTGGAGCTAAAATATTGTAGCTCCCCAACCCACAGTGCCTATCTGTGTTGGTCCCTGTTGGAACAGCAATTACTGAATTTACCCTACAATATATTACAAACATTTATCTCGACTTTTTTTTAATGGATGCAAAATGATTTTTGAGGAAGTTTGTTGCAAATTAATTGTTGTCATTACCAGTGTCTGTCTAGCTAAGCTTGAGTATTAATGATATATTAATTCTTACAAATATTTCAGCCAAGAATTGAATATTTGATTTGTAACTGTAATTTTCCTGCAGTAGTGTTAAAACTGACTGTCACTTTAGCACTGATAAAATCAAATCCTATTACAGATGTCAGCTACAAGACTGAATACTTTGTTAAAGATGTTATTAAAATTTTACTGTGTTTAAGAAATATTTGTCTATAGCCTTTAAGCATTCAAGTCTTAAAATGCATTTCTGTTCACAGTATTCCAGTACTTTTGTTTGTCAAATCTGTGTATTTGTGTAGTGTTCAGCGCAACTAAGATTAAGGACAAATTCTAGCATCAATTTGAATGAGTTTTTTTTACTACTATTTTTCTCTTTCCTTGTTCGGTATTTCTTGTTATTCCTCCTTCATATTAACTCCTGAGGATTAAACAGTTTCTGTGTTCTGTGTATCTTGTATATCATGTAATCTTTATAAAATAATTTTCTGTACATTTGCTAATGTAGATTAGAGATGTGAATAACCCAAAATATTTCTTGGTTCTTCGCATTCTTAAACTTTTTAAAACAAAATTGCAATCTGCTTTTGTTTTTGACTGATGCAGAGGACTGCACCACTTTTGAGATTAAAAGTTGAAATATTGAGCTCAAAACTCAATTACAAAGTGGTGGAATGTGCAGCACGCAGGCAGGCATTCAGAACCAGTGACAACTCATCTTAGCATAGCATCTTTGATGGGCATGAGCCTTTGAATCTCAAGGATACAATATTTGATTAAAGTTTCCACTTTCAGCTCAAGTATTATAAATGTATTCACTTGTTTCAGTGACTTGGTCTACCTGTCTTTCTTCATGTTTGATACCCACTCGACACCTCTCTGTGGTGCTTATTTGTAGTGGTTCTGAATGCTACCTGAATGAGATAAACACTTCAGCTAGCAAAATGATGATTTCAGGAACATTAGTAAACGAGGCACTGCAAAATAAATCAAATGCAAAGATGTTACACCAGAATTTGAGAGTATAGAATGGACATCATTGACCAAGTTTCTTTTTTATGGGAACTAACATTATTTTCCAAGAAATACATTTTAAGGTGCTAGATTTAAAGAATAAACAATGACCAATGACTCAAAAATAAATCATTGCCTATTCAGTTATTCACTTTACACTTTTGAAATCTGTACCTGTGTTTAAAAAGTGCCTTATCATGTTCCAAAGCATCGTTTGACACTATGCAATCCTACGCATTATGAGGTAGAGTTTCTGCTAGGTTCCACTGGTACTTCCATGCGCAATTGTCTGAAGAATCATCAACCATGCAAAAGATTAGTTATTTTCAAGTACAAATTGTTTTTGAACTTTGAGACTTTATGCTGGAAACTCCCTCCACCCACAAAACTAGCCATTATTTTGGATTGAATTAATTATTATGGAGAGCTTCCGATAATTATACCCATTTATGACTCTTCAAGGAGGGTCATAAATTTGAGCTAAAAGTATGAGATGCAAGGACTTTAAAGCTTTTAAGTATTTATTTAAATTTGGAAACACTGATTACTGTACACAAGTGAAGCCACTAAATGATTGTGTTGACATTTTTAAAGCCAACATGGCTTTAAAATAAATGTTTAATCAAAATCCAGACAGACAAATGTGGTGGACTAGAGTATCTAATTTTAAAATTTATTCTTTTTCTTGTGATAAATACATTTTGGAGGTATGATGTTGTCACTCAAATATACTAAGGAATATTTGCTTTGGTTTAAGGAAGATTTTTTTAGCATTCTTACACAGGCAACAGGACCTCCACCACTGCTTATTGAGCATGCAAGGGACCCATGCTACCTCCTCCTTGGAAAGCTCACTATGTTGACCGGTTGGTGACCAGGAGGCTTTTTATGGGGTCAGGACCCAAGGAGCAGGACGCCCACATCGCAAAGATTTGTCAGCAGGTTATTTTTTGCAGCAGTGTTTCTGTAGAGGTGATAAATATGCCATTCCAGTGGATTGTGATCACAGAGCAATACAGGTTAGGGGTAAATGATGACAGGAAGTGCTGCACAGGTTGTTTATCGTGGGGAAAGGGTATGCTGGGGGCGGCAGCAAGAGGAGTAGTGGCTCTGAGGAAACCCACTCCTCTTTCCCAAGCTGCCCTCCTTGATCAATCACAATGCCTTTGATCTAGAGGCAGCTTCTGGGACATCTTAAGCTATTTGCATGGGGTGGGGGGAATATAAGATGCCACCCTTTGTGTCAGAGTATAGATTGTATCCAAATCAGAAACTTTAGTGCTAAAGGCTATAAGTCTCTGCATGTAATAACAGCAATTGATGCACAATTCAGCTTTGTATGTTTATGTTGATAAATAACAAATCATTTTAAGCACAATTTGACCGTAGAAAACTCAAGGGTGCAGTAGTTTTTCTTTCCTGGGAAAGAATGAAATAGAGATGCAGAACAGGATAGATAATGGTAACGATAATGAATAGAAGTAAAAATAGTTGACACTGACCTGAAAGCCCACATAGAGAGCTGGTAAGGAGAGAACAGTGAGGCAGGAGGTGAAACTTTGATCAAGATGCAGTTAAACTCTGTGTTCTGCAAACTTGTCATTTTACAGGATAGAGAGATTCCTGCTATGAACTTTGGAACCCAGAGGGTGAAATAGCTAACTGCAAATCAACTATAATTATTTTTGGTAAAGAGCATACTTTGAAGTATTTTAAAAAATGATAGGCCAAGATGTATAGATGTAATCTATCTGCTTGCAGGAAGCTTTGTGTGTCAGCAAATATGCTGTCAGAAATGGGACTCAAGATTCAGAATTACTGATGCAAGCAAATTTTAAGAATATTTTTCCAGCAATTCTATCTATGCAACTATCCTGATCAGTACTTCTCCCCGAAGACCAAATGTATACTCCAATCAGTTTCACAGTGGATTTTAAATCAGCACTGCAGACTTAAACTAATGCATTGTATCTGTGTTTATAGTCTCATGTAAGAATTATAAATAGAAGTCAAATAAAATGCTGATGAGGATAAAATTAGAAAGTTTACAAATGTAAACTTATGAAGAGATTTTGAGTGGAGGTGAAGTTCATTATAATCTTTTAACTTTGGGACTATTTTGAAACAGGTGTACTTCTCGAATGATCCCTCTCAATTTGAGAAAGACTGATCTTACAGATGCATGCATGGGCCTGAAGAGGTGATCTAATTCTCCCTGAAGGTAAAGAACTAGCTGAAAATATTACTGTCCCCCACATTGCCTTTTAAACAACTTTTAACCAGATTATAACAAGCTGGAGATCTGTAAGGGTGTGGACATAGCTTCTTAACAATCTACCTATTCAGTGTTGTGCGTTTGAAAATGGCACCTTGAGTTTTAGATTCAGAAAAGTATGTAGGCAATATATCATGTATACGTTTATCAATTGAAAGGAAGACAATCAGAGCATTGATAGCTTTATAGAGACAAAGTATAATCTTATTTCTAATAGAAAAATCTGAGTTCCTTTGTTAGATTAAATAATATTATCTATCAATATTTAAAACAGCATTTAACTTTAGTCCCCCAGTAGAAAGCTACAGAATCCAGTAAGATACCTAGAAGCCAGTTAAGAACAATCATTGCAACATTGCAGCAGCAGTACCTTTTACTGACAGAGACACTCTGGTGAATCTAAAATGTCACTGGATTGTTTCTTTTTATATCATTGAAAAAGAGGATCCAGCAGGAAACTTCTTAAACTCATTTTCTAGTTTAAAAAAGAATCCTCCATCTTGTAAATATTCTTCAGGATGCTGAGAGATGTAAATAATGGTGATTTCCATGTTAGACAGTTTATTCTTAAAATTAGAATTAAACTAAATATAGTTTGGCAGGTTGATTTAGCAACATTCTTAGTAAACTTTCCATGTGAATACTATGTACATGTCCGCAAGGAAGTTTCTGCAAGTTCTTACTCAAATGATGAGTTTGCAAGCATTTCCTTTAAGCAACTTCTGAAAATTCACAAGACGTTGATTCTCTCCCCCTCTCTCTGAGACAACTTTCTTTTAGGCAATCCCTCAGGATCAAGGTTTTTTTCTACTCCAGTCAGATTCTGTTCACTGGTAGGCGTGCATGGGATGCTTGGGTGTACAGACCCTCCTGTCATTCATGCTTAGCCTCTATCTGGGCCTTTTGGAGTTGCTCAGAACAGTTGGCCCCTTCACAGATGCTGCTTCTCTGATTTGATTGGTATTGGGCTGGAGATTGCTAAGAATTGATAGAGATTTTGCAATTTTCAGGGAGGATTTGAGTGAATCCTTGTGTTTATACTGCCCTTCTGGTAATTGCTTACCATGACAAAGCTTGGAGTAGAGACCTTGTTTTGGAGGTCTTGTCATTACTGCAGACAAAATGGCCCACTGTAATCAGCTGATTGACTATAACCAGTGCCATAATATTGAATATGTTGGCCTGAGAGAGAGCGTTGATGTTAGAGCCACCTATACTGCCAGCAGATTTGCAGGATTTTGCAATGGGATTACTGATGATATTTTAATGGAATTTGAAGTATGTGCTGTATTTTGTCTATGTCTCTGTTACATATAGGATGGCTGTAACACTGTCTCCCTGTAAGCCATGAGCTTGGTTTCAGGTTTGAGGTCTTTGTCACCAAATTTTTGCTCCTTTGATGGTCAAAAGCTATGCTGACACACTGAAGGCAATGTTGAGTTTCATCGCCTATGTCTTTCCTTGCTGAAAAAGATTCCAAGGTATGAGGATTGATCCATGCTTTCTATTGGCTTGCCAAGTAAAGTGGAACTTGATAGTTGGAGGGTACTGTTGTGCATTGGGGGTGGACTGGTAGAGGATCTTTGTCTTCCTGACCTGTTGCCTAAGGTTCATTCTCTCATTTACTTCTGTGAATGATAGTTTGGAATTTGGCTTTGACTGTTCTCCAAAGGCAATTAGGGATAGACAATAAACGCTTGCCTAGCCAGCGATGCCCTCATCCTGGGCACTGACTGTTTCTGATGGCAAAAGTAACTCTACAATCCTGTACAACTGGAGTACAACTGTCTCCTACACACGGATCAATAAACTGCTATAGGTTTAATTTCAAAAAGAGTCCATGCTGAGTGATTTGACTTTCATTTTCACACCAGGATGTCTATAGTTGTTTATCAGTTTATTGCTGAAGGATCTTTCACATCGATTCAGCGTTAGTTACTTCGCTTTGTTTCACATTAAAATTGTGCAACCTTCAGAGGAGACTTCCAGTTTCTACAGTGTTGGCTAGTTACAAACTGCAAACCTAAGATAAGCCTAACCTATTCTACCACCCAGTTATCTGACTAGAATTTATTTTTCTCAAGTGGACTCCAGCTCAGGTAATTCTTGATTTGTCCACATTTTGCAAATATGTTTTGGTCCTATGCACAAACCTACACATTGAAGTTTCTGCTTCTGGTACATGGTGGCTAGGTTGGGGTGGCGAAATCACAGTTCAGTATTTCCTTCATCTGATCAACAGGTCACTATAAATTTGAAATAAATATTTTGTTTCAGAATTGGGAGATAAAAATGGAAGTCCACATTATTAGGAAAAGGATTTCTTGTAATGGCTCAATACCAAACAATGGAATGTCATTAAATTAAGATCAAGCATTTATGTGTTAATTGGAGATGATCTGTCATGGTGGTACTACACTAACAGTAAATATACATACTTCTCCTACTCAGATTGTACCAAAATCTACTTGCACAAGCAAGATGCATTACAAAACGTCATTTCCAAATCATCACCACAAACATCCATTGTGTCAGCTCAATCATTGCAACATTAGGCAATCAGTGCCAAGTTTTAATCTTTTTTTAGGCAGATTGGTGCAAGCCTGGTGCAAAACAGCACACAAGCTGAATAAATCTTTGGAATCAAGGTAAATATTGTAATTTTTTATATCCATTTCCTACATTAACCATCAGGTGGCCCCACTGTTGCAAGATTGCATGGTTTTAAAGACACTACTTGATGCATACTCTTATCGTGAAGGAAACATAGAGATTTTCTGCAAGCAATATGATTCAGATTGATAATTCTGATATGATTGGCATAGATCCAAAATTCTGTACGTAGGTTTTTTTTTATTCATTTTGTGGCATG